CGAGAAAACCTTGTGAAAGAAAAATAATCGGAACAGAGGAGAGGAAAATCAGGCTTTGAAGTGGAGAGATGATAAAAATAACAACAGAGACACATGAAGGCCTGACTTCATAGATTGCTCTCTTCTCTCTGCTGCTTTCTTCTTGTTTTTCAGGCTGAGGGTTCGAAATAAGATCCAGACCCGAAAGAAAGAGGGAATGGTAATGAAAGGAGATGGAGTCAGGGGGATAGAGGGAAAAAGGGGGGATCTCTTACACTCATCTTGACTCACACACCACACCATAAGCCTCTGGCGACGGTCAAACGCCATGCTTCCGCTTTATTGCTAATGACATCCACCACCTCCTTCTCACAGCACTGAGCAGACTGCAGGAGCCGGAGGAAGCGCGGGTCTTTACGCAGCTAATACACAGCTAACAGCAGCAGCAGCAGTCCCCCGCACTCCCCTGGGCATGCACACACCCGTACCCCGATGCGTGCAACCATGCCTGAGCACATACACGAGATCAGTAATGTACAGAAAGAGAAACAGAAAACACATGCACATATGTTGCTTTTAGCTCAAACTAATTGTTATTTCTAAAGGAAACTATCTGTGGCTAAATGCACTCAATGAACTCAATGACCACGTTTACACATATATACACATAATATTAGTTGAATAGTAAAGATTCATTTTTGTCTTTCTTTCAATACATATTAAGTATTTCATGTAAATTGTCCTACAAAAAAGTACTACACTAGTACCGCAGTACTGCTGTATAATGTATAATATTAATAATGCATTTTATTTGTATAGAGTCTTTCAAGTGAAAGCCTACAGCAGTTCATCTCTACCCATTCACACTAACGTTATAAAGAGAGTTTCAATCCAGACTGCTTTTTGAATACAGCAAAATACAGGGCAACCAATCACAATAGAGATAATTCCCATATATCAGTCTTAAAGGCACAGTAACAAAAACAGCCTGTTTAACTCTAAGGAATAATTTCTGAATGACTGAGAATCCGAAGCCCATGTTAAAAGCACATCCACAGCTTTGTTTGCTGTAAAATCGGAATCTCCAGGTTTAGCTACTTTTCCTTGCGCGTCTTTCTTCCATCTGCCAGGCCTGCTAACCGGTTAACCAGTACCACATTATCTAATATAAAGTGGAAAGTGGATAAAAAAAGACTTAAAGGTGTGAGTGGGTTTATAAGGAAGAATGAAGGAGCATTGTCATTGAGAGATTTCTATGTGGGAAAAAGAATTTTGAAGTAAATGCAATTCTTTTCAGGGACTATTACAACCAGGGGCGTGCTGTATTATGGCCAGTCAAATCATTCCGCTTTCTGCCTTATTTTCTCAACCTTTCAATCACTGCTTAGCAACCATTGATATCCACCATTGCCTCAAGCCTTCATAATTAGTGTTTGAATTGGTAGCTCAAGTTGCAGTCAAAGGTTTTACCTGGGGGACCTGTAGAAGTGAGATCCAATCCCCGATAAAGTATATAAACTTTTTTTACCGATTTTCAAAGATTAAAAACAAATTTAAAACACACATGGTCTGCAGATTTGGCACTTAAAATTCTCTTTCATTACAAAAGCGAAATGGACTAAATCCAAATGTCAAAGCGAACGTCCATTTCAATACATTAATTAGTGGTATGATTTGGCTTTAAATGGTTGGGTTTATGTTTTAAGTTTGTTGTGTTGTTTTTTCTTGTCTTTTAACATCTCAGCTGTCTGATTTTAACTCAGTTAAGTCATCGTCACTGGTCAGAAATTGTGCCTGTGGTAAGCAGATGGGTGTTGCAGTGTTGGCTGGGTTTATGTGAATCCAGTATTCTGGATAATGTGTACACAGTCTTGCTATTGCTTTGTATGGAAGCATTGGATTAGTAAGGGTGATGATTGCACTGCGGTCAGCTATAGGTTACAGCCTAATGTCATGATATAGCGATGCATAGTGCTTTGGAAACTGTATCTACCAAGTTGGCCAACCCACTGTTTTACAGTCCTACCCAAAGATTTATTTCTGTCTACACCACTAATTGCAACTATCACCACTTTACAGTATCTAATTAGTTGGCAACAAGATGCCAGTAAGGTAATAAGGATTTTGCTATTTGTTACAGTATTAGATTCACATTCACAGACGTTATCTTTTTGAGGATTCAAAAGTTTAAATCCCACCACTGACAAGTGACAAGCACCCAAAGCCCCAGTGGCAGCAAGTGTGAATGAAGTGTGTGTACAAGGAAAGTAGATAACCCTCTTTGTCCAACATTACTCTGGTGATATGAGTGAAGCGTGTCCACGTTTATACCATTCCTCTCTACGTATGGATACGTATGTAAAAATAACAAGCTTATGCATGAGATATTTAACCCGCACTTGCTCTACAGGCAGAGGGACTGAATTATTTTTATTGTAAATATATATGGCTATATACTGCCTGCCCACTTTATCAGAAACCCCTACGTTCCACCCTCATGATGTGCAGTTATAGTTATCATGCTGTTGCCATGTGTAATTTGTATTAACCATCCACAAGCAATTAAACTGTGGTCAGTTTCTGATTACAGAACCACTCTTTAATGGATATGTTTGGTGGCAGACTTAGCAGAGCGACTGACATGTGTAAGTGGCCAGTTTGTGGACATAGTACTGTGTAAAAGTCAGAGGCCACCTTTCATTTATTTACTTTCCTGTCAAAATGGTCAGTGAGTTATTCATTTTTTAGAAAATATATCAGAGAAGATTAGGTATAAAATAATCCACTCGAACAAGGACGAAGTCAAAGAATCAAAATTTTTTTAACAGATACAGAGAAAAATGGAACTCCTGATAAACATGAAAGACCTGGTAGTCCACCAAAAACTGTCACTATCAGATAAACTGAGCAGAAAGCTTTCATCTTCCACTCCAGGTGTTTCTGTCTGTCCTTCCACTGGGAGAAGAACAACTCAACACTATGGGCCTGAAAGGATGTGTAGCTGTCAAGACCGCATTACTGAGAAAAGAAAATAGACAAAAAAGAAGAAAATTTGCAAATCAAAGAAGGAAGCTGCTGGTATCTCTGACCAACGGACTGACCACCCCAGCGTCCAGGGGCCGTATTACAGAAATCTTTTTGTCTTAACTTAGGTCAAGATAAGATTTTTCACAAATTCATATTACAGAAGCAAATCTTATCTTAATTTATGAACCTTAACTTATCTTACAGCATCTTCTCTTATCCCAAGTTAGGAAATCTTAACCTACTTGATCGAAGTCGACAACAAACTGTCATGTCTGTTACCTAGCAACTAAAATTATGAACTCAAGAACTGTTATTCTGTAATAGCTTCTGTCCTAAGTTCAGTCCTACCTGAAGTTGTCATGGTGACTAAGCAAATAAGAGAAAATTTCAGACTTAAGAAGTTTCTGTAATACGGCCCAAGGCCTCAGTATCACTGAAAGTGGGTATACTTGAATTATGAGAGACAGAAAATAAAACCAACCTCTAAGACTGAACTTTGGAAGTGTGAAAAAATATCCCTGCAGATTTCTTTGAAAAACTGAAATCAAGTCTCTGAAAAGACTGGAGGCTGTAATAAAGGCAAAAGATAGCTGTTGTTATTTGTTGTATGACAATAAGGTTAATGCATGTGTTTGATATGGGTTTATTTATGTTACAATGTATAGTGTGGGAATGAAAAATAGACAACAAGTTATTTGAAAAGTTGTTAAATGATTGTGAAAATAACGAGAGAGAGAGAGAGAGAGAGAGAGAGAGAGAGAGAGAGAGAGAGAGAGAGAGAGAGAGAGAGAGAGAGAGAGAAGGATAAGGTATATTCCTCCTTCTTATCTGCTCCATGCTCCATTCAGACACTCACAGGCTGATTTCTCTCTTGACCCGGATCTCTCTCTCTCTCTCTCTTTAGACGACAGGTCATGAACACAGTATTCTTATCACAGCAGCTTAGAGCTCTCTCTCTCTCTCTCTCTCTCTCTCTCTCTCTCCAGTCTGTGAGGACTGCTGCTGTACTAAAGTCACCCCCACAGCACTTGCACATCTATTCACAACTACAACATTTCTCAACAACCTTCTCCCAACCCACAGCTTCTATACTAACTCAGCAGTGATCATTTACAAAACACTGGAGATAATCTGTTATGTGAGGGGTTTAATTCCAAAATGGACCATGCATTCTTTTTCATTTTCATCTCTTTTATGATATCTGTTGTTAAGAATGTGCTTTACACATACATGAAATATCAATGCTATAATATGATTAGTAGCACCTTTACTGGAGTAACAGATTGTGATTTTATTAGTTAAAATTTTTGTTTCATTAATGTAAAATACAGTATTTTAGAATGAAACTCTTCATATCCTGGTGTGTCTGTGAGAGAAAGTCCAGTCTGAAGTCAGCATTCCCACAGCTCTTTTCCTATTGTACTGTGAGAAAGAAGAAAAGACACTAATTAAAAGACAGAGACAAGAGATGAGGCGGAAGACAGAAGAGGCTAATTGAAAGGAGAAAAAGGACAGAGAGAAGGGGGGTGATTAGGGGGAGGGCAGCAGGGTGAGAGAGAAAGAGTGAAAAGAGTAAAAACAAAAAGAGAGAACCAAAATGGGCAGCTCTGCCTGAGTGCCTGACTTTGCCTGTGTTGCTGTGCGTGTGTGTCTGTGTGTGTGTGTGTGTGTGTGTGTATGTGTGTGTGTGTGTGTGTGTGTGTGGGGGGAGAGAGAGAGAGAGACAGACAGTGAGAGAGAGAGAGAGAGAGAGAGAGAGAGAGAGGAAAAGGGGTGACAGAGAGAGGAAAAGAGAAAAATGTGTGTGTATTTGTGTGTGTGTGAGAGAGAGAGAGAGAGAGAGAGAGAGAGAGAAAGAGGGAGAGTGGTGTAGAGTGAATGAGAGAAATGGACAGTGGAGAGAAAAAAAGAGAAACAGACAGTGAGAGAGGTGAGAAAGACAGAGAGGAGAGAGAGAGGCAGAAAGAGAAAAAAGAGAAAGAGAAAAAAGAGAAAGTGACGGAGAGAGAGAGAGAGAGAGAGAGAGAGAGAGGTGCCACTGTACAAAAAGGGATCAAGGGAATGTGACTTGGCGAGTGCCAGAACACTGGGGGTCTAGTGAAGAAGGCAGACGAGGACTAAACTGAAAGAGCGAGAGAGCACTAATAAAGATCTACTAAACTTAGAACTTTTATTGTGGTGAGAGGGAGAGAGGGAGAGAGAGAGAGAGGCTTGCTGGCACCACAGTCTGGTTTCCTCTCAGTTGTGTGAGGAGAGCAGAAGAAGTGTAGAAGTGCCCATCGCTGCTGAAACTTCTCTCACAGGATCAAGTGCTTGTTCTTCATTCATCCACCCAACCTTCAGCCTGAGAGGAGAGGAGAGCCGCTTAGCCATGAAGAGACCTCACGATTACAGCTCTCCAGACTCGGACACAGACGAGCTGATTGATGTCGGACAGGAGGACAGTTACTGGTGAGGACTGAGCTCACATGTACTGAGAGCTTCATCGCTGACCCTCGAACTGTCCTGCAGAGCGCGCTGCCCAGCACAGCGGACAGAGCACTCATATAGAATGTGGAAGTCTATGATATATAATGTGGTTGTGTATGCGTGGGAGTCATAGTTATGTGAAGCGTAGCTGTGAACGCTTGTGTGCTGATCCTTACAGGCTGGTGAAACACCTCGCAGGTGAAAGTTTAGAACCCTTATGGTCAGTTTTTAACTCTATTAGACTAGTCTTAGTCTTAATGTTTTTCAGTGAAGAATTACTTTGTGCTATGATACAAAATGAGACTTCGGTTCTTGAGTTCTTGAAGACCTTCTTTTTGTGATAGAACTGTAGTTTTTGCTGTCTTGTCAGTCTCAGTGTTGTAGATCATTAGATATAAATTTCCTTGTTGACCCAATAATGCTATTTATTTCACTTATTAATTTTTTTTACTTAAATTTTTTTTTTAACTTTTTTACTTTACCTTTTAACTCCTTCATTGAGGACATTCTTTAAAGTAATTTTGTGTTTGATTGATGGGCAAATGTTGGAAAACTGTGCGGGGAACCATCCTATCTGTCAGGAGCTGCAACTCTCCAGACGTGCTGAGGATGCTGAAGCTATGCATTATGTGAAATGTTGTTGAGTTTGGAGATGAAGCTAAATCATCTTTCCACGTAAACATTCTTTAGATAGCATTTTACAGCACAGGAGTGTTTATGTAGTTCATCCTTACAAAAAGGGAGTTCTTCAAAGATTCAGTGGTTATACATACAACCATGACAACTCATAGAATGCTTAAATGGTTCTTCGTATTGTAAATGGTTCTTCACCATGACTGAGTACTTGTGGTGCACTGAAAAAAATGTTGCTTTGAGTTTACTTGATTCAATATATTGGTTCCACATGAACGAAATCCATTACATCAACGCAATTAGGATTGTTTATTTTAAGTACATTTGGTGAGAATTGTGTTGATGCAATGGTATTTTATTAATGTCATAAATTCAAAACAACACTTGCAACTTCAATGTGTATAAATGGTTTTAAGTAGCATTGCAAAACATTCTACTAAGAGTGTAACAGCAAATCAAGGCTTCTGGACTATTTTAACCCTTGTGTGGTGTTGATGTGTTTGTTGTTCAGTGGTCTGGTGGACCCACTGCATTATTGTTTTTTAAATCGATACAGCCATCACAATTTATGTAAAAATACCAGATATTTAAAATATCGCAAGTGGCCAGCGTATGGTTCTCCTTTAGCAGCTGTAGCCAGTCAGCAGCCTGTCCATATTGTCCACATTCACACACATGCACACATATACAAACATGCACACACATACACACACACTAACAGCAGTGAGAACAGAGTGAAGGGACACAGCACCTCCACACTTTTATTCCCCACAGGTTAACCCCAATACCACATGTGTAATATAAATGTATTGGGGTGAACAGTGTGAAGTCACTGAAAATGTGTTTGGTAAACATTGAAAATGGGTTCCACAGAGCCGAACACCACACAAGGGTTAAGCACTAAAATCAGTACTATGGCATTATTAGTCTTCAGTGCAGTTTAGACTGTAAGTCTTGATGGTTAAGTTTTGAGCGCATTTCCTCCTGTGTCACAGCTTGTCTTTCTGCTGTCTGCTTAGAGCGAGGTGATACCGGAGCGTGAAAGTGTAGAACAGCAGCTGAACCACAGGGCCACAGTCAAAAACTTGCGTCAGATGGAGGCTTATACGCCTTTCAAAACTTTCTTCCATCTTCCTATTAAAGTGGCACTGCGGAATGGGACCTTCCCCACACCATTTGCAGAAAAAACATCTTTCCCCCTTCTTTCACTCTGTAATGTTTTTTGATTTTTTCTTTAAAGCTGTGTCACAGCTTTACACGGAAATGAAGAGCAGATTTAAGACTCATGTGTTTCCCAGTGTTTTTTCTTTGAAACGTGTTCAGAACTCTGTAAGAAATGAATGTCTACAGTACTAAATGTCAGCTCTGGCCTCACAACGTGCCATTATGTTTTAGTTTGAGGATAACAAGTCCCTGACTGAGTATTAGCCTTTAGTAAATTTGTCTCTGTGTGTGAGTACATGGCTTTATGCGAGTAAGTCACCAAGCGCACAAAGCCAAACGCACAGCGTAATGTTCCTGGAAGAGAGAGAGAGCAGAGGGCCTGAGCAAAGCGGATCCATGCTGAAGGATGACTGGGAGGATTGAGGAGGAACACAAAGCGCACGCAAACTCCGCTGTTCTAGCATGCCCTACAGATATGTAATCATCGTGTCTTCTTGGCTTCAAAAAATATGCTTTTGTAAGATGCAAGAAGCGTGGCGTGTCAGCCAAGTGAAACTAATGTCCTGAAACGCGTTAAACCAAAATAATCCAGCTCTCTCTCTGCCAGGCGCTCCTGTGTCTAGCTGTCCTCAAACTCAAATTAGATTGAGTTTGATGATGTGCAACTGTGCTTCTGCATTGTATTAAGCACAATAATGACAACAATATGCAATGACATCAAAGCTTTGATCTGTCCCTCTCTCTCTCTCTCTCTCTCTCTCTCTCTCTCTCTCTCTCCTCTCACAGTCCTGTCACTGGGTCCATGTCTCCAGGCAGTACCTCGCAGATCCTAGCCCGAAAAAAGAGAAGAGGGGTAAGTCTATCATTCTATGTGTATTTTTGTCTATCTATTTATCTATCTATAAACATATACATACATACATACATACATCATTGTTGTTGGAACAAAACCTTGTATTTCTGAAATGGTAACTTTACAGGAGAAGGAAAAAACCTACTTGACTTTTAATGTAAGCCAATGGAACCAGACTTTTTTCCAAGCCATTTTGGGCCATTTCTTTTAGTCCATTCATCATGAAACTTACAGGAGATACAAGGTTTTGTTCTGACAGCAGCGATATGTGGAAAAGTCCAGCCCTCCCTATATCACAACTTTCAAACATGTCAAACATGTCAAATTGAAATCAAGTGCACCCAGTCAGGTGCTAATGATTAGAACACAGTTAGAGAATATGTTGTTTTTATCAAACCTCAGATATCTGGTCTGGATTGCTGTTGAAGTGTGTGTGGCATCATCATGCCTGGATCAAAAAAGCTCTCTGAGGCCTTTAGAAAGAAAGTTGTAGATGCCTATGTGGCTGGGAAGGGGTTTAAGAAGATATCCAAAATATTGAAAATCAATCATTCCACTGTCCAGAAGATCATCTACAAGTAGACAAGATTTAAAACCATTGCCAACTTGTTCAGGCCAGGCCTGCCCAGCAAATTCAACAGACCGTAAAATGCTAAACTCTAAGAACCCCAGAATTTAATCACAGGGCCAGCTGGTAACTCCTGCCACTGTTGATGTAAAAGTGTGTGCATTTAAAATTAGAAAAAGACTGCACAAATTTAACCTACATGGGAGGTGCGCCAGGAGGAAGCCTTTGCTGTCTAAAAAGAACATCAGAGCATGGCTAGAGTTTGCTAATGAATATCTAGGTGAGGACCAGGAATCATGCTATGTACAGGTGAGTCAAAGATAGAGTTGTTTGGCCACAGTACCAGAATCCATGTAAAGTGAAAACCAAAAACAGCATTTCATGAGAAGAACCTCATACAAACTGTAAAGCATGGTGGTGGAAGTGTTATGTTTTGGGGCTGCTTTCCTGCCTCAGGACCTGGCCAGGTAGCAATCATAGAATCAATAAGAATTCTCTTTCCTACCAGAGCTTGAGGAGAATGTAAGGAAGCTCCACCAAATCCAAATGTCTCAAAAGGAAGAAATGGAGGGTTGTGGGGTGATTTGAAACAGTCTGTGGATGCAAGGAACGCCTCAAACATTGCACAAACACTGAAAGAACTCTGCATGGATGAATGGGCAAAAGTTTCTCCCAGCAAATGTCAGAAACTGGCAGACAGTTATAGAAAGGCACCAAAACCAATGATGATTCATTGTAACATGACAATTTTACAACCTCTTTTTATCCTTTAGAATTAAATGAGCTTTTGTTACTGTGCCTTTAAGATTCATATATGTAAAAGACCTCTGTTCTGATTGGGTTTTTTGTTGGTGTTGTGTCCCATTTAAAAAGCAGGCTGAAACACTCGTTTTAACTTCTGTATGAATAGGCAGATATATGTAAATTACTGGTTTTTGTGACACTATAGAAACGATGCATTTACAACAGGCAGTTTCTGCGGCTTATTTTCCATGTATGTGGCCTGTATGGACTTAAGCAGGGCTTATATGCTACACCAAACTCTTTTTTTTAAAAGTGATATGATATGTGCCTTTCAATGTTTCCATTTCCACTTTATTAGAGCATTCAACACTCTAGTACTTTATTTGCTTTATTTGCTTTATATTTGCTTTACATTGTGCGTTATAGTGTCTCAATCTAATGCTCTAATCGCAATCTATCCATTTGTCTATTTTTTTTAGCTTTTATTATAGTTCTTCCTTCCTCTGGCTCAGTCAGCACACAGAGATATAGACACAAACAACAAATGCCGAGTGTCCTTTTAAGGTCTTTCTTGTTATATCCAAATGACCTCTGTGTCTTTTAGATCATTGAGAAGAGGCGCAGGGACAGGATCAACCACAGCCTGTCCGAGCTGAGAAGACTGGTGCCCAGTGCCTTTGAAAAACAGGCAAGACTGTCATTATGTAACAGCATTATAATAGTCAACCATTTATCAATGAATGCAGTCTGAATCTTTCATAATGCTGAACAAATATAAATACATATTGATGTATTTATTGTATATTGATGAATCCTGTCAATAAAAAGCATCTTCTTCACTTCTGATCAGGGCTCATCCAAACTGGAGAAGGCAGAGATTCTTCAAATGACAGTAGATCACCTCAAACTGCTGCATGCAGTGGGGGGAAAAGGTGAGAGCATTATCAGTGAGAGTAAATGTTCACTGCTGTTCTTCATTTATCATATTAATAATTGCAGTAATTTTATTTTATTCAACAATAACATATACAGGGTGGATCTAAATACTATGAAGTTAGACACCAGAAGGTATTTTAAAATGTTTTATTCAATATTTTAGCTTTTTGGGAGCTCCACATAAATATAATTGTTTTATACAATACTGTGCAAAAGTCTGAGACCACCCTTCATTTGGTTTCCAGTAAAAATGGCCATTATACACAAGTTATTCGTTTTTCAGCATCAGGAAAAAAGCAGGAAACATATATTTAACAGAAAAAATGACACCAAAGCCTCAATAAATATCATATTTTTCAGTATTCAGTATGTCTGTCCGCCCTTTGTCCTTTTCACAGTTTCCACTTGTTTTCGAGAGAAATCTACAGGGATATTTTTCCACAACTCCAAAGTTTAGTCTTACAAGTTGATTGGATTGGCTTCTGTTCATTCAAGTACTGAGAATTTCCCTGTTGTGGGACTAATAAAGGATTATCTTATTTTATCTAGTCTTAAGTAATCCCAAACACAATTGGTTATGTTGAAGTCAGTCCATTAGCAGTTCTGAGAGCACTAGCAGTTTCTTTGTTTGATTTGCAAATTTTCTGTCATAGTGACAGTTTTGTGGTCTTCCAGGTCTTGCATATATAATCTCCTCAGAAGTATCTCCTGACAAATGACTTGTAGTTAATGGCCTTTTTAACTATAAATTAAATAAACTCTAACTTTTACACAGTACTGTACGTGCAAGTCAAGAACCCTTTAGGAACCTACACTTTTAAAAGTGGATATAAGAGTAGATTTTGAAAATATGACATCATCTTCCTCTCAGGTTACTTCGATGCCCGTGCGCTGGCGGTGGACTACTGGACGCTGGGTTTTCGGGAGTGTGTGGGAGAAGTGGTGAGGTATCTCAGCTCTCTGGAGGGCATGGAGTCCACAGACCCCATTGGAGCACGCCTGGTGTCCCACCTGAGTCACTGCGCCAGTGAGCTGGACCCTCTACACCAGAGCCCGGCTGCTCTGCCCTTCACCCCCTGGCCTTGGGGCTCCTTCCCACAGCTGAGCAGCCCCTCCAGCCCCACAGTCGCCACACCCCCCTTCGCTTCTGATGGCCGCCGTGATCTGGCTCCGCATGCTGCCCTCTTGGCCTACCCTTCACCAGCCTTGCGAATGGCTCCTCTGGGCCGCCAGGGGGCACTGTTGAGTCCAGCCATATCTTTAGTGCGCAGGTTGCCTTCTGTCCCGTCCCGCCCTCACAGACTGCCTGAGCCGCCTCAGGAGGGTCCAGCCGCCCCCACATCTCTACACTCTGCCCCGCCCCCTCGCTCTTCCTCCTCACCCTCTTCCATCTCCTCCTCTTCTCCCACCTCCTCCTCTGCCAGCCATCCTCAGGTTTCCTTCAGACCCTTTGCTGCTCTGGGGTCTCCAACCCCAGTGCTCAGGGGCATGGGTGGGTCCAGCAAGTCAGCGCAACCCTGGGGGACAGAGATTGGGGCCTTCTGATTCAAGCAATGTAGCGGACTATCAAAAGCAATAGAGCAATTGCTTGCCCATCAGAACCATGCATTTATGATTGACCTGTCCATGCTCTGCCCACAAATGCATTCTTTTGTAGCAACCATTGCCATTCAGATCGTTGTTGTAGCTAATCAAAGCTAGGGAAATTGTAAAAGAATTTGCCTTCATGCTGATGTTAGCTCAACTACATCACAAAAACTACACCCAATCTGTCATAACAGTGTGACTTTCACATGCATACAAAATAATGTAATTACAAATTATTCACACATTGTAAATTTACATATTCTGACATTTTTTGTCAACTTGTTCAATTTAAATTTGCTATGTAAGATTGCATTTGTAGGTGGAGCATGTATTCCATAAAGGGGAGTTTCACAGATTTTTCCAAAATTCTGAATAGTTACAATAGCTGTAATCAAAGCCATTCAGAGTGTTTTGATGTGTGTAGAGAAATTACTGGTGATAGGAACCATAGGTAGTGATATCTACAAAGCAATTAAGCCTTTTTATTTGCTTTTTGAAATGACCAGTCGCTGCTGTCAGAAGAAAACCTTGTATGTCCATTTTTGTTGTTTTTCAGTTTTTGACAAAATGTAAAAATGCCTGTTGCCCTTTACATCGTGTGCAAATTTCACAAAGAATGGACCAAAAGAAATGGCCAAAAATGACCTGGAAAAAAGTCTGGTTCCATTGACTTACATTAAAAGTAAAGTAGGTTTTCCTTTTCCTGAAAAGTTACCATTTTGGAGATACGAGGTTTTCTTCTGACAATATATTAATATTATATTCTGATAATATTAATCATGGAAAAATTGGTGAACCTGAAAAAAATGGGGACTATTTGGCCTGCATATACCTCTCTGATACATTTTAAGCTGAAACTATATGCCCAACAGATTGTAAAACAATGTCTCAAGTATCAGGTAACAATGTTTATTTTTATTTATTTTTTATTTTACCTTTATTTAACCAGGGTAATCACAGTGAAATTAAAAATCTCTTTTACAAGTGAGCCGTGGCCAAGAAGGCAGCACACAAAACAACCAACAAAGAAAGAACACCACCACAAAAAGCAACATCAAATCAGTCAAAACCAATTTAAAAACAAGAACAAACAGAATTCTTAACAATTATCGTAAAATCACTAAAGGAAATAAGTTGCTCCAATTTTAAATGTTTTCACAGAACATTCCATGCAGATTGAACACTGTAACTAAAAGCTGCCTTGCCATATTCAGGCTGTACTATCGGAACAATATTGTAAGCATTTTATTTTATGACTTCCTAGAGAGGAATTAAACTAGATGTCTGGTTCCAATCACCACCACTGAGAACAATTCAGACTTCGTAAGTTTCTCCACATCAAACCACTCTGAGTGACTTTGTTTGCATCTTAATGATTTAATTACACTGAAATTTCTAAAAATCAGTAGAATCCCCCTGTAATGTCCCTTTTTGTTGTAGCCATTGCAAAATGCTAAGCATGTGAGAATATGAACCTATCCTTTATACAAAGAAACCTCCACTGTTACCCAGAAATTAAAGACAAAAAATATGTTTTTAATTTCATGCACAAGCCAAATCTTACCCAGAAGCAAGACAACAATACAAACAGAAGAACAATAGAACTTTGCAAAGAATGATAAATCCTCATTAAAGTTCAAAATCGGTTGTTCTTGCACGCAGTTGCTGAAAACTGGAATGAAAATGAAGGTATATACTTTAGAAGACAAGGCCGAATTCAGTGATTACCTGATTCTAGATAAAAAGCTCTCTGAGAGATGGACTGATAAGAAAGGACTGTTGAAAGAGCCTTGTCTTTGTACATAATTATATACATGATACTATCATCTGTACTGAAATCTTTTATCTGTTTGTTTGCTGATATACTTTATTTGATCATTTCAATGTAAGTTTACTTGGATCCTCATATATGTTATCCATTTGATATGGAAATGTTTGAGGAGATGCCATAAAGACAAAAGTGCCTTTTTGAATCCGCTTTGTGTTGCTGTACATTTTTTTCATGGCAAATAAGTCAACCAACTACCAACCAATAGGTTGCAGCCAAGTGATTTCTCTTTCACACAGATGTGAAACAGCAAAATCTCTTTATCGCACAAACTCACATTACATGAGGCAAAGCAGCAGTTCAGCGTGTTTGCAGCATTAGCTGCTACTGTTTGCTGTCTGCACACCAGCAACTGCATCTGTTGTTTTAGAGTGATTGTACTGCATGACCCTGAAGAACCATGGGAAAGGCCCTGGAGATAGTGAATGTGACCACTGAGAACAGACAGAAGGCCAATTATCTGGACGACTCCTTTGGGTGCAATATGAGCAGGGTGCCACTTAGTGTTTTCTCCAGTGTTGTCTGCAGACAGGGTGATGGGAATGGTGCAGGGCGGAGCAGGCCGCAGAGGAAAAACGTAGTGGGTGCTGGCTGAGCTCCTGCACCAACAAGAGGAAACAGGGCATCATGTGCCCTTTCATTGCTTCTGCCTACCACTCTTAGTCTGGACACTGTAATTTGGGTGAATCCTCACTGTCTCTCTCTTAGAATTACACCTCTTAGAACTTAAACATAAATTATACACTTAATTTCAGTATATATGCTGTGTATATACACACAGTATTACAAAATTATTTTTATTACAAAATTATTTTTTTTTATAATTACAATATATATATATATATATATATATATATATATATATATATATATATATATATATATATATATATATATTTCGTCATTTATTGTGGAAAATGATCCAATAGTACATATCTGTGAGTGGCAAAAGTCTGTGAACCTTTAGGATTAGCAGGTAATTTGAAGGTAAAATTAGAGTCAGGTGTTTTCAATCAATGGTATGGCAATGAGTGATCATCCTGTTTTATTTGAAGAACAGGATCTATCACAGTCTGATCTTCACAACACATGTTTTGGAAGTGTATCATGGCACGAACAAAGGAGATTTCTGAGGACGTCAGAAGAAGAGTTGTTGATGCTCACTGGGTTGGAAAAGGTTACAAAAATATCTCTAAAGAGTTTAGACTCCATCAGTCAGACAGACTGTGTACAAATGGAGGAAATTCAAGAGCATTGTTACGCTGCCCAGGAGTGGTCAACTAACAAAGATCACATCAATAGCAAAGCATGTAATAGTCTGTGAGGTCACAAAGGAACCCAGGGTACCTTCTAAGCAACTAAAGGCCTGTCTCACAGTGGCTAATGTTCATGAGTCCACCATCAGAAGGATCCCAAAACAACAATGGTGTGCATGGCAGGGTTGCAAGGAGAAAGCAGCTGCTCTCCAAAAAGAATATTGCTGCCCATCTGCAGTTTGCTAAAGATCACATGGACAAGCCAAAAGGCTACTGAAATAATGTTTTGTGGACAAATGAGACCAAAATAGATCTTTTGGGTTTAAATGAGAAGCATTATGTTTGGACAAAGAAAAACACCGCATTCCAGCATAAAAACCTTATCCCATCTGTGAAACACAGTGGTGGTAGTATCATGGTTTGGGTCTGTTTTGTCGAATCTGGGCCAGGACAGCTTGCCATCACTTATAGAACAATGAACTCTGAATTATACCAGCAAATTCTAAAGGAAAATGTCAGGATATCTGTCCATGAGCTGAAACTCAAGAGAACCTAGGTCATACAGCAAGACAACGACCCAAAGCACACAAGTCGTTGTATGAGAAGAATGGTTAAAGAAGAATAAAGTTAATGTTTTTTGAATGGCCAAGTCAAATTCCTGACCTTAATCCTATAGAAATATATTAAAGGACATGAAGCAAGCAGTTTATGGGAGGAAACCCACCAATATAACAGAGTTGAAGTTGTTTTGTATGGAGGAATGGGCTAAAATTCCACTAAGCCAATGTTTAGGACTGATCAACAGTTACCAAAAACGTTTAGTTGCAGTTATTGCTGCACAAGGGGGTCACACCAGATACTGAAAGCAAAGGTTCACATAGTTTTGCCACGCACAGATATAACATTGGATCACTTTCCTCAATAAATAAATTACCAAGTCTAGTATTTTTGTCTCATTTGTTTAATTTCGTTCTCTTTATCTACTTTTAGGACTTGTGTGAAAATCTGATGAAGTTTTAGGTCAGATTTATGCAGAAATATAGAAAATAAAGGATTCACAAAATTTCAAGCGCCACTGTATGTCAGTGTGTTTGCTTAATCATTCCCAAACCTCATCTTGTGGAAGCCCAGACTTATTTGTAATTATCATTCAATACCTGGTTTAGATAATCTATACAGATGTGCTGCTGATGGAATTTAACAAATCTGGTGTTATGATGGCTTGGGACATAAATGATAATATTTGGGACAAAACATGTTTTCCTAACCAACTGACAAGATATTAACTACCTTTTTTGAGTAACAACACATTCTTACTGCTTTTTACTGCCTTAATGTGTGTTAGTGTTTAGTCTGATGTTAGATGGTGTATCTGGCAAAAACACACTTACTGCCCAGATAAATAGTGGACTTGGAAGACTTTTACACAGTTCTGTATACCATCATATGTAAATGTTTGGACATGTCAGGTTAAATTCCATGTTTTGTTCATTTTTTAGGTGAAAATAAGTTAACACATCCTTTACAGAGAGCATACATCATATTTTAGTGCACAGTCACTGTTTACTTGCTGAATTTAACATGTGTTAAATGTGTTACAGTTCAGGCTCATTATATATACAAATATAATGCTGCTGTCAGAACAAAACCCTCATATCTCCATTTTTGACAATTTTAAAATGTCTGTTGCCCTTTATGTTGTGTGTAAACTTCATGATGAAATTTCATGATCTCATTTTCTATGGATACAGAATAGACAACTTAATTATTTTATTTTATTCACAAAAACATTATTTAAGCATCAGTAAAACTTTGAAAACATTTGAAAAGAGAAAAAGTTGAACACAAAGTCTGAATTTCTTCAAAGTGTGGGTCCACTAATGAGAGTGAAGTGAATTCTTTATTTCTACACAAGCAGTTCCAGCTGTGATTAAGTCAATTGGATAAACCCAATACTGAGGCATTTTTACTTCGAGTGAATCTCAGTTAAAGGCGACTGTACAGAGGAGGAGGATAGATCGCTGTGGAGTTATTTTATTTTAATTTAAAGCATGTCAACAGAGAAACCATGAAAAAACAAGACAGCCATGTGGTATGTGTCATTAACAAGACAGACAGCACATTATAGAGCCACTATAATTATGGACACACATCACTTGTTGATGCATGCAGACTGTGTTTTACATGCATTCAAAGACTTTAGATTGTG